TACTATGTACATCGGGCGTTGACCCGTCTTGCCCGTCAGATGTCATCAACCCATCGGCGCAGACTGCGAATGGCAGGACGGATATGTACGATGACCCTGGGCCAGGAGGGTCGGCCTCGGCCGGGTCGCTGGCTGAGTTGACGCGGTAGGCGATGATTGGAGTTGGGAGTGGGAGTGAATCAGGGGACGAGTCCGATCGGTGGTCAATTGACTCTGCATGTGGAGGAGGAGGGAAACGTGGGTGTAGCAGGAGAAGCCACGGAGCTAACTCGTGGTGTGGTTGAGCGTGCGTGTGTGTATGTGAGTGTGACAGGCGCCTTGAAGGAGTTGACATGTGAAAAGGAGAAACAGTGACAGTGAACGAGTGAAGAGTGTGAGAGAGAGAAAGTCGGAGCGTAGCGTGCTGCCGCTGGCGCTGGATCCTGCAACGAACGCACAGAAATAGCACCAAGTGTTACTCACGATTGTCACCAGCATCCAATGAGGCGCACGGCTTGGGCGACTTGACGTGGTGCCCGTCCAACCGGTCCAAGTCTCCCGTTCAGCCGTCCATGTTCCAGACAAGACCATTGACATAACGTCCAAGACACTTGTGGCTCGCTACCTGCGCTGCGGTCTCTCAGATGACTGAACTACACGAACTACATGGCACGTCCAGTCGCCGTGACTGCTCGGTGTTGTTCAGCAGCAGGCAGCTGGGGACTTGGGTGGCCATTTGGCTTGTGATACGTGACTTTTCGCAATTCTACTGCATCGGCTTGTTTTGAAGCTTTAAGGCTGCAGAGCTGCTGCCTCTCACATTGCCGTTGGTGGAGGGGTCGCATAATAACACCCTCTCTTATGATTTGAAGGATCATCATCATCAACAGCCAACTCAACTCGCAGAACGCTTGCTGGGGCGCGCCGATTCTCTCGCTAGCACGGCAAAATATCGAATTCCCGAATGCCCACAGCAAATCAGGGCATTTAGCGATTTCCCCTCGTCTGTCGTGCCAGACCAAAACGCTGTGCAGGGACATCCACAGGAGAGGGGAACCCGATGATTGACTCGAGTTGCACACACCACCACTCTTTGCGCGCCCTCGTCCAGCCCTCTCTAGCGACATCGGCGGTTACGCGGGGACACATCCAGTGAGGGGCGAACAGGGGGAGGCCCTGCAGCGCGTCTCGCCTTGACTTTGTGTGGTTCCTCTTGGCTTTTTGATGCTCGCTGCCAATCATCCACTCGAGACGAGACACACACGAAGAAGACGGGGTAATAATAAAAGTAACATTCGAAGAGTCGCAGTCTGGAAAGTTATTCCCCAGGAAGCTGAAGATTGAGACAAGGCGCCGGTGGGACGAAACGACGACAGGGAACACCACCGAGACAAGCGACCGTTAAAACAAAACAATAACAAACACTTGCTAGGTGAGCTTTCAGTCACAGCTAGATAGACAAGCCGAGAGAGCGCCGGGCAAGACACGGCAGTGACGACGTTGCAAAAGATACTGTATCCAGGCCGCCGCCATCCCGTTCCCGCCCGTCCGTCCTCGTCCGCAAGCCAGGGAGCTAGGAGGCACCTTTTCCGTCACCGCGGAGCTTCCAGACGGACTCGTCCTCAATAGTGACGACTTAGCTCTCATCCCACATCAGCGAAGCGTCGAACAGCGCATCACATTCACAAAATAAAGGTGGAGCAAGATATCAACAAGGCCATCCTCGTCTCCAAGCTTTACCGTCTCGCCTCTTTCGCCTCTATCTCATCATTCAATTCAACGGTACGGCGGAATTCGACCTTTCGTCTCATCTCGCCTGCTGTTCGTCACTCACTCTCGCGTTCCCCTCACCACAATCTTTCGTAATCTCTCTCTGAACTTTGCCCATCTCGCCAATTCCCTGATTCGGCGTCACCGCTGTTCTCCAGTCTTACTCTCAAGGACCTCCTCCCCTTGAGAACAGACCCAACAAAATCTCGGCTGTCGAGCCTATCCTGCAACAACCGCAACTTTCGCAATACTCGCAGCAGCCAGGCCAGGCCAGGCACCGCTCCAGTTCTCCCAGGATTCGCCCGAGTGCATGCACACTATTCCTCCATTACACTGCGTACTGCTGCGCTCACTCACCTCACCACGCAACAAACACACACAGGGTGCATGCAACTCGCATGCCACCAACCCTGTTGGAGACGCAGGCTAGCCCGGATACAGGCCGAGTACGTACAGGCTACAGGCTACACCACGCCTCTCTCAGTTAGCTGCAGGGAAGGGCCGCATTGCAGCTTCGCAACGCAAACTTGAGACGACAAGACGGCAAAAGAACAGAGGGAATAAAACAAAAGAAGAGCCGACGAATCTCCAGCGCCCCTTCGCCAACTGCGGCGAAAGAAGGCGGCGAACCCAACGCCAAAAACGCCTGCGTTCCTAAGTGGATAACAGCCACCCGCCGTGTTTCTTGTGTTTCTTACCTCTCTCCACCGCGGCGCATCGAACAGCGACACACCGCGGTCTAGACTCCGAAGGAGGGGTTGAACACCGCAAGACTCTCTCTGTCACTGTCGGCTCTCAAGCAACAGTCACGTCAGTTCCTGTTCAAGTGTGTGCTGAAGCGGAGCACTGCCCGCCTAGCGTGTAGCAACACGACAATCGTCCATCATCGTCCCAACTTTCGAAACTCTGCGACACGAAAGGCCCTTTTTCCATCATCGCCTTTTTTGCTTTCTTGGCCCGTTCAAGCAACGAGCAAGTCAGTGCCTTGCAGGCTTCCACCCCCTTCCACCCTGTCTTGTCTCTTGTCGTTCGCTCTGGCGTCTGAACTTGATCGGGCTTGGTCCGGTGCAGAGTCGAACTGTCTTGGCCCAACTCGCAGGATTCTATTGAGCCTTTTTTGATATATCACCGCCATTTCCTCTCGATAGCCAGCGCGGGCGTCCACCACCACATACGCATTTTGTTTTCCTGCGCGGTGTTGAGACATACATATGCGACTGTGCCCCGTCCCCCTTGTATACTGACCCCGGGCAACTTCTCACGTCGGCGGCTTGTCGTCTCATCCACAACGCACTCTTTGCCTGGCCATTCTCTTCTTCTGCTGTTGTGCAGCTGCAGCCCAGGCCCAGTCTGGTCCATCCTGCCCGCAGCCCCCCACCTCGTCCTCGTCCTGCAGCAGCCATAGCCGCAGACACAGTCGAGAAGTCGAACTTGAAGCCCCTCCTCTCGTCCGATCTCACAATTGGTGTTGCTCTGCACTGCGACTGCGACTCTCCTCGATATCCTCTCCGATTCCTCCCATCGAGGTCCCTCTTCACCAGTTGATCCCAGCTCATTCAAAAGAGGGAAAAGGCCTGGGTACCTCGCCCTAAGCCCAGTCAAGTCCAGCCACCGCACCGCAACGCCGCACCGGCGCCATCCAGCCATCGACCGGAACTCTTTACTGAGGCCATCCCTTTCCCTTATCCGCTGCCAACACATTGATTGACATTTTGTCACCGTCGCAGAGTCCAACTTGGGCTCTCCCGCATAACATCAACCTGCACCCCTAACCCACCACACCGCACCACACCACAAAAAGCATATCGAACCGGGGAATAACCTCGCGGCCTATCCCAGCACCGCATAAGGTCGAGAGAGGAGAGAAGTGAGGAGCAGCAGCCACCTCATCAGTCCACGCATAAGTGTCCCCGGCGATCATCCATCAAACCTGCCGTCGCGACAGGCGGTGTCTCTGCCACTTGCATCTGTACCTACATATTCTCATCCCGCCTCTTCCCTCACTCATCACTCACCACTCACCCGCACCTCTCATCGCCCTCCGCTCTGAGACCTTGACGTCTGATCACCCCACGCGCTCCAACATCAAGACCCCAGGCACAAGAAGATCACAAAAAAGAAAAACAACAACCCAGCAGGGCTTTGTGCGTGCAGCAGCACCCTCATCCCACCCCGCCTCGAAAGGAGCTCCAACATCCATCAAACACGCCCCCATTCCTCAGCAAGACATCCCAGGTCCCAGCTGCAGCACCACGAGACCCCCCCATCGCGGCGCCTCACCGCAACATCCTGATCCAATCACGGCCCCCTAGCCCGCCCACGACGACAACCTCCCCTGCCACCCGCGAACCGGGGGTGTCAAGTCAAGCAAGCACACGCGAACCAGCAGGCCCTGTCCGATAGTGGAGGGCGCTCCGATTCCTGTCGATTTCATCGTCCCTTTTTAAGTTGCTTGCCCCGTTTAGCCCTTCACCACCGCAGAGAGGGGCCCTGTCACATCTTTTTTTTTTTGTGTTCTCTCGCAGCTTGCTTTCAAAGCCAGAGGAAAAAGATCCAATCCCCTCTTCTGTTGTTCAACATCGTCCTCCACCGGCGAAGAGTCACAGAAAGCAGGGATTCCCAAATCGTCAAGACGAAAAGGCACACAAAAAATCAAAACCAACCACACGGGAAGAAGAATCCACTCTCCGACACACTATTGTCGTCAGATCAACGCGAATTCGAAATCGTGGACCCTCAACCGGAGAGGGGTGCTCGTCTCGTCTCTTTATTTTCCTCAGACCGCAACTTCTGATACCACTCCGTCCTTCATCTCCGCCTTTTGACGAGAAAATCTCGTCTACGATCTCGTTAATACATATTCCCCCGGGAGGCCTGCCACACACAATCAATCGGTTTCCGGCCCCCTTTCTCCAGACGTTTCTTTCCCACCAGAACCCATCGCGGCTCGCAGCTTGGTTACTAAAAGCTCGCTCGTTGGCGCCCAGTCCACCAACACATCCACACCCACTCACTCCTCGATCGTCAGCTTCACTGCATTCATCGAGTTGAGGGGGGAAATCCTCCAATGGCTTTATAGCGAGGATTCAAAACAACCTGTTCAACGTTCTGCAATACTCGCCCTTTGATTTTACACCTTTAACACCAACACTCCTCTTCGCCAGTGCCTCCGACAGTGAGAGCAACTGCAACTCTTGACGATACTGCACACACATACTCAGTTTCGCAACACCAACACCACCACCGCAACCATGTCTCGCCTCTCACCCTTCCCCTCCAACCTGGCAACCTTCCGCACCGAGTCCCGCGCAAGCGTCGCCGCCTCCGACACAACATACCACACCTGCGCATACCAATCCTTCCACGACGTAGAGCTCTACGCCCCGAGCTCGCCGCCCTCCAAAGCCCCCGCTCCGGCACCGGCCACCACCGTCCGGGCCCCGGCGCCGCCCTCCTCCGCACACCACCAAAAACAACACCACAAGGAGCCAGAACCCGCCGAGATGCGCCGTCAAGACTCCGGCTACGAGTCCCTCCCGCCACGCAATTCCCTCTCCTACGCCCGTCGCACGTCCACCGCCTCCTCGTCGCAGTCCTCCTCCAACCAGCAACAGCCCCGATCCCGCGGCCGCCCCACGATCCGCCGCGCCCCGAAAACGAGCCCCTATCCCACCACGGCGCGCACCAGCGGCAGCAGCCTCTACCACCCCTCCTCGCGCTCCTCGCACACGCACGCCCAGCCAGCGACCTTCTTCCACTTCCCCGCCCACCCGACGGACCTCGAGCTCGCCAACCGCCGCCGCTCGTCCCCGCGCGGCGAGGACCTCGAGCTCGACCAGCGCGGCCTGCTTTCACCAACACAGCAGCAGCAGCAGCCCGAGAGCAGCGATGCCGCCGGTGAGGTCGCGACGCTGCCGCCGCAGGCGACGCACTACTGGACCAGCGACCGGACGCGGCGGCTCGAGTATGCGGCCATCGACGCCGCCAGCCGCGGCGTGAAGGGCTGGTGCAGGCGGCACCTCGTCCCGGACTGCCTCGTCCCGAAGGAGAAGCACGTCGCCTTTGACGACGACACGGGCAGTGTGCGACGGTACAGGCTCGAGCTGGACGAGGAGACGCCCGAGAAGTGCGACTTCAACTCGCGGAAGAGGGGTTGGTTTGGCTGGCGCCGATCCAAGACGGCTTAAAATGCCAAATCATTTTTTTTAACTGATTTTCTGCTTCGATGCTGGTGTTGAAACTGCTTTACCGACATACGGGCACTGGGGGACACGGATTCGCATGCATTATTCTTGGCATTTGCACACGCGGCTGGGCAGGCTGCATTGGCGTTCTATACCCAGCATTTTGACACTTTTTTATTCTTTCTTTTCTGTCCTTTTTCGTTTTTGCGGTACTGCCTTACTCGATTTTTGTAATGTTTGTTGTTGAGAACTTTGTTTCCTGATATGAAGGAATGAGGCATGAACAGATTTGGTCGAATATCAGACTGGCATAGCGAAACACATAGATGATAGAATGACGCGATGAGAATTGCGGCAAGTCATTTCGAGGAGAGAAGATGGCGGAGGATGTATCTGGAGATTACGAGACCCGTACACAATATGAGAAAGTATTGATAGGTTTTCAATCGAAACATGTTGAATCAAATAACACACTCACGTCTTGCTGTGAATTCTCTCAATCAATTCCAATGTCGTCTATTCTCATCGAAGTGCTGCTCACTGTTCATCTGATCTTGAGAGGTTAGATGACATCTAGCACCAACCCACGATGCTACTGCAACTTGAATGTAAAAGGGGGCGGTGGACACCGCTAGACCCCGGACCCGTCCTTCACGAAAGACACAAAGAAGGGCGGTGTCCTGGACCTGAAGCCCGGGCCTTCCGCCCGGATCCGGTGGCCGACGAACGGACCGGCCCGTATCGGCTGCTCTTCCGGTGGAAGAGGCGGTGAAGATTCAAAGGTCAGATGACAGTTCGAGGCCTTCCAAGTCAGGTACGGAGACGAGTCAGACTGTATCCCAGGACTTGAGGCACAAGAAATGTGATCATTTCGTTGTTGCGTATTAACATCGTGAGATCTGCAGACATTATGGTGTTGTAACGCTGCGCACGAACAAAATCGAACACGCACCACGACTCCGCTTCACCATGTCAAAAGCCCTTGGCGAGCGGTGGATCTGGACCGTGAACATGGAAACGCCTCCTGTCGATCCGGGCCCCCGTCCCACCAGTTCGCTCATACTCCGCTCAACCAACACCTCTTAGGCTTAGTCTTCGAATAATTCCAACAGCCTTCCTCACCGCTCGTTGAACATCGCCTCCTGATGGGCAAAAGTCAAATCACCGCCGCAACGCGCTGCGTCATGCAGGCAGGGCGCAACCTCTCAACGGATTGAAACCCCAACCCAGCCCGATCCTCACGACGAGTCTCACTTCTGCCCAGCCTTGACGCACTCGATCACGGCCAGATGCCTCCACGGCCCCTGGCCCTTCGCCACGCTGCGAATCTCCAGCCCCGCGCGGCCCAGGACGTCGGTCCAGCAGTCGAGCGTACGCTGCTTGCCACCGAACGTCAACATCATGAAGTCCAGCATCGTGGAGGTGTAATGCGGCGGGTTGCCCATCACGTCCTCCTGGATCAGCAGCCGGCTGTCCGCGGCCATGGCGTCCGCGATGAGGCGGAGCATGTTGACGGCGAGCTCGTCGCCGTAGTTGTGCAGACACCGCCTGATCCAGTATGTAAGAGCGCCTGCAGCAGTCAGCATCACTGTCTCACATCCCCCGATCGCGAGTGCAGAGGAGGGATCGCGTACCTTTTTCGGGCTGTTCCTTGTGGAAATCGATCACTTGCTTCCTGACGAGTCTCATGTCGGCGTCGTCGAGCTGCTTCACGGCCTCCACGACCTCCGGCCGGTCCTGCAGCACGCACCGGTCTAGCGGCAGCTCCGGATTCTCCTTGTGGATCGCCTTTATGGACTGGCCCCGCCCGGCGCCGACGTCGACGAACACCGCCCGGTCCGTCGAGTTCGCCTTGGCGTAGTCGACAACCCACGTGAAGTCGTAGATGCCCGAGATGGGCATCTTCTCTTCGATGGGACCCATGGCGCGCAGGAAGCGCTGCATACGCGGTGGGTCGTGCTGCAGCATTTCGTACCAGCCGTACTCGGGCACGCCGTAGGCGAAGGTGCCTGGGACGTGGTTGAGCGTCTGCGGTTCTTTGCGGCCGTACTTCTCAAAGTATGCTGGCATTTGGACGTACGGTACCATGCCATTTTCCCAACTAGCAACCGTCAGTATGTATAAAATGCACGAGGAAGAGGGCGGACGTACGCCATGCCGACGATTTGGCCAGCGGGTTGACCGTCCATGTAAATGCGCGAGCGCTTTGTGTGAGCAACAGCGTCATCGCCCACTTGCTCTAGAATGCCCATCGACGTGAGCACACCTCCGATTCTCCCTGGCAAGTGTCAGTCTGCTGTGCCTCACAAGCTTCCCGACGGTCGCTTCGCTTACGTATCAAAGACTCCTCGGCGTCAACCTTCTTAGCGAGCTCTGCATATGAGATGCTCCCCTCCGGCGGGATGTGGTCATATGCTTTCCACTCCCAAAACAGCCTGTTCGCACCCATCTGCGCAACCTGCGCCGTCGCGTCAAACCACTCATCGCCTGGGTCCTTGACCGCAGAGATGAGCTTCTGCGCGGCGTCGACGATGCGTCGCCGCTGGCCCTTGTCGAGGTCACTCCCGGCGGTCCCGGGTTCTTTGAGGAATATCTGGAGGGCCGCGGTGACTTCGTCCGCGGCGGCGGTCGCCTCCGCCCGGACCTGATCGCCGACGTCTCCCGACATTGGACAAACTTGTAAACTCTTTCCTAAAAGGATCGAGCCTGGCTATTTTGTGGGGAATTGACTGGTGGATTTCAAGCAAGTGGCTTGTTACACGACTCCTTCTTTTGGTTCTCGTATGTGTGTTGGAGAATGCGGTGATTGCTGCTGCACGTCTGCCGATCAAAACGGTCTGATTGCATTCACAGACGTCACACCCGCACGAAAAGTACAGTGACCGGGCACACGGGACGGCTCGCAGAGGAAGACAATAGAGAGGCACGGAATGTGGGCAGAATGGGATGAAAGGTTTAAGCTTGTCCGTGCTGACATCAATCGATACCCAGCGGGTTGAGATCGAGGAGGGGAACACCCAACAGGTCAACAGCGGAAGAGAAGAAGAGAAGCGAAGGAATGATAAACAGCCAGCAGGGCCTCTGCCTCCATCCATCCCGTCCGTCCAAGACCCAAAGTCCCCTTCTTCCCGATTGCAGTGAAGCGAGGTTCAGCTGAAGGAGCGCTATTAGCTCGATGCGGAAGCTCGGTGTGTAGCCACCCATGTGTCGGCGACAACGTGCCGCGCACGTCCAATGCTGCGCTGTTGGGTGATGGTCCTCTCCCCTCTTCACTGCTCTTCAAAGAGAGGAGATATCGCCGCCCAGCCAATGGGAACATACTAGACTAAAACTCGGACTAGATGCAAATGACCAGGGAGAGGCGGGCTAAATAGGAGTTGGATGAGGGGTTAATAAACAGGAGAGGGGCAGGTATCTCAAAGGAAGCGGGCAGTATTGGGGGGAAGCATGAATATGACTTGACGGATCAGAGACACGGGCGACAACGCCACCGCATGCGAATGGGTTCCAGGCCGGCCTCTTTTGGTGCACCGCATCGGCGGCGTCCCGGCTATCCTGCTCCTGGCCACGTCCACCTCCCAAGCGTCCCTTCGCGGAGAGACGAATCCGCCGCGGAGCTAGCTGGAATGGAGGCTGGTGCCAGCGCCGCCGCTCCGACCAAAGCCGGCTAAGACGTCAGGTAGCGCGGCGTGATAGGCTGTGCTCTCTTTGAGGCAGGATGAGCGCAGGGGTGGTAACTTTTGGTGGTGGCATTGATTTTCCCCTTTAGTGTCTTGACATTTGATCTCAGTGAACGTAGCTCACTCTCTTCGCGCACTTGAGGCCGGTGTTGGCTGATGCATTGCTGACACGACACCACGCAGGAGCCGCTTCGTAGTTTAACCAGTCCAACGGCTTTTTTCTTTGGCCCCTTGTCAAATTTCTCTTTGCTTCCTTCTTCATGCTGAATCGCCCCGAGCAACTAACGATTGTCCCATCGATCTGGCTGACTCGACCGAATCTCGTCCGCCGAGACTGCGCATCCGGGCTCCCGCGATTGGCTTTTAAAGTTTCTTGAGGGCATTTAATACACCGAGCTGCCCCTCAGTGACAGTTCGCGTTGTCGCCGATCTCCAACGTCAGGGTTCCCCATCAGTTTCAAGGGCAGATCCCTGGTCGAGCGCTCGTGCCCTCAGCGCGACATCTGACGACTGTTACGGCCGAGATCACACGTCCCTCTTCTCATCACCGAGACGACGTCAGACTCATTGAAGATTCGACGTATCAACAACATATATTTGGATCTTGGATCGGGTCAGCTGAAGCAGCCATGGCGGACACAGCAGCAGCACCCGCAACGCCAGCGCCGCCAGTCTCTGAGCCGCAGGAATCGCGACCTGGGGCACAGTCGCCGCAACGACCCTTCGAAGCCGAGAACACAGTAGAGGCCGACACAGATGATGGCGCGTCATCGCGAGCGGACGAGACGTGGGACGAGGGCTTCGACTCGGCAAGTTCTCATTCGGCATCGACGTCGATGTCGGCCAGCGTGCGCGATTATGTTTTCGAGAACACGCGGCGGTATCACAAGTACATGGAAGGACGGTACCTCCTTCCGAACGACGAGCCCGAGCAGGACCGCGAGGACATGAAGCATGCGATGTGCGTGAATGTGATGGATGGCAAGCTGCACAGCGCGCCTCTGGAGAACCCGCAGAAGATTGTTGATATCGGCACGGGGACGGGGATCTGGGCGATCGACAGTAGGTTTCCACCTCTCCCCTTGTTTGCGCGCACCATCTTGTTGTCTCTTCTCATCCCTTGTGTCTCTCGATCGGATTCTTGGCGTGTTCTTGTCCACCCTCGCGATGGAATGTCGTCGTGCGGCCAAGCGATTTCGTCCCCACTTCCCAGCCCCTATTCGGCCTTTCAGCCAACACATGAGCCAAGGCTAATTCCTCAAAGTTGGTGACGAGTATCCGGAAGCAGACGTGCTTGGCATCGATCTCTCCCCGATCCAACCAGATTGGGTCCCCCCTAACGTGCGCTTCATGATCGATGACGCCGAAGCGGACTGGGTTTGGCCCGAGAACTCACTCGACTTTGTGCACGCGAGGCATATGTGCATGGCCATCAAGAACTGGCCTGGACTCCTCTCAGAAGCCTACAAGTCTCTAAAGCCGGGCGGCTGGGTCGAGCTGCAAGAACTTCGCTTTCATCTTCAATGTGACGATAGGACGATGCCCGGACCGGAGCAGTACGGTTACGGCAAATTTGTGGATCTCTGCATGTCAGGTTTCCGAAGCTTCGGCATCGATCCGTTGATGATGGAGCGCAACCCCGAGCTCTTGAGAAATTGTGGGTTTCAGAATGTGACTGAAAAGGTGTGGAAAGTGCCTATTGGGGTGTGGCCGAAAGACCAGAAGTTGAAGACGATTGGGCTGTACAACCGCAGCATGCTCATTGATGCATTGCAGGCGGTTAGCATGGCCCCGTTGACGAGAGGGTTGAAGTGGAGCGCGAGCGAGGTTGAGATTTTCCTGATTGATGTAAGGAGGAGCTTGATGAATACGTCGATACACTCGTATTTGACGTTTCACGTTGTCTATGGGCAGAAACCAGGTGGCCAAGTGTAGCATCTTCAGATATTTTGCAGATCATCCTTGCGTACGTCCAAGATACCATTGATTGACTTTCAAACGCGTTGCTTCGAAAGGTTATTTGAGCGGAAGACTTTGTGAAATTGTTTGATACTTTCAAAACCTTACCTGCCACAGTATTGAGATGCAAAGTCATGAGAACGTACCAATCGAAGAGGGGCAAGGATCAACAGGTTGCTGCCCAAGGTTTTCTATTTTATCAAGTCTCCCCTAGAGAGTTGCACAACCCTTTGTCGTGGTGTGCTGTTTTCCTCGGTGTATTTTGGAGTTATTTATACTGAAGGGCTGAGGCCGGTCACTTGCGACCAATGGGTCACTTTTGTCATCCCTTAAATCCTAGTCCACTACCTTCAGCGGAATAACCGAATCGGCGTGTCCTTTGCGGGGGCGTACTCTAAAGCACTCAGGACGACGTCTTGCCCAAGTAACCTCGATAACTCCCCTAGCAGACGGACACGATACGCCGTCATGTGTGAATAGTCCGTATCAGCCTCAACTGCCTCTAACACTACGCGGAATCTTGCAAGATAGGCCTGATCTGAACATTGTTCCCCATCCAATATTTCCGAACTTTCGTATATAAATTGCACTTCCTTCGCCAGGAACAGTGGAGATGAGCAAACGTCCAAAAGTTGGCCCTCAAAGAGATCGTCGTCAGAGAGCCCCCAGAACTTATCATCCTTAACTAATTCTGGAAAACCTTTTGGAAGGGTGTCTCTGACAAAGAGATTGTCGGCATTCGATCCGGTTCGTGTGCCATAAAGCACCGCGAAAGGCCTACAGTGCGATCGAACCCATCCGACTATCAGAGTAAGTGGATAGGTCGCGCTATAATTGTAGCATCTTCCATGAATTAATATTTCAAGCCTCGCTGCGAACGACTTGCGAGGGTCATTACTGATGAATGTCGTATAGAATGAATCCCAGAGGTGCGGAAGATTTGGATCGATGCGATCTATCTCAAGACCTTCCGAGAGTTTGTGAAAGAGTTGAAAGGACCGGTGTAAGTTAAGTGTCATAGTACGAGACTCCATTGGACCGACATCCTTGGGAATGTATATCGTGAGAATCTCTTGAACCGCCAGGTCAGGTTTGGTGGTCTTCGTATGTTCCAAAGACCAAGGTTGATGACGAATGAAGCCGTTTGCCGTGCGCTTGAGTAATATGCAAACTGAATCTTGTCCTTGCATGACCCCCAGAAACATAATGTATGCGCCATGATTATGCTTGTAAAGAATTGCTTCGATCCGAACGCCTTTGTTCGTCACAGAAAACTCGTGCTGTTGATTTCGCCTCGTGTCGGAATGCCACATCACATGTTGGAACAAGTGAGAAACTCGGTCATGTTTCGTGCAAAACTTCCTCTGTATTCCTGATATCCTTTGGCTCCTGCGGAAGGGCCTCTCCAGGCGAACAAGGAAAGGTCACCGGTCTCTTTCGCTATCTCTTCCTGTAGGCGTCTGAAAGACTTGTGTCCTTCGCCATATATCATTGGCATGTTGATGTCAAAAATTCCAAGAAGCGAGTATGCCCGATCTTCTATGCGTTTCGTCTGCCTTTCAGCCGCCCAGGACATCTTGACTGCGACCGGGATGTTTCTTAGCACTCCAGAATACTCTAACGCAATGGGTAGTATTCCAGTCACTTTAGCCAGAATCTCTACAGATTCCGCCTTTCGGGAAAATCGTTTCCATGTGGAATCGTAAAACTCAACGTGTCTTGGAGCAATTAGCTCTTGCAATGTCCAGCCTCGAGAAAACCATCGGCATTTCCCTAAGGTTTGCTGGTTGTACGGAAATGCACGTTTTGAGGATGGTTGTGATTCTGAATCTTTCGAGGGAGACAAGTCGGAGAGAAAGACGAAGCAGACTGTTGACAGCTTATACCATGTGAACATGGAATTTATCGCCTCGCTCAACTCTGCACTGCTCGACTTATCAATGCAACAGGTATCAATCCAGGCGAATTCGATATGTCTTTGTCGAGCAAGCTCGCACGTCTTTGCAACCTTCGAAAATCCAGCCTTTCGTCTGGCATCGTCTGCGTTCGGGCTGCGGATGTCTTGAAAGCTTATCTCATCGTCTTCCCAGGTATGGGACAGGATTGCGTATTCGACTGACGCAGGGTCCGAAATCTCTTCAAGAGCGAGACTTCGAGTGTTGATGAGCCACATCCTGTACTCAGTCGATGTTTGCTGAAACTAGGAAACGGGCTGCGCTGTTGTCATACGACTTGGAAAAGGTTGTTGTGCACAGTGTATGAACGATGACGACAGCCTTAAGATGTTTCTTGAAAGGCGAGGGCTAACGTCTCTCGTGTTGTCGCAGTAGCCATGGGGCATCGGCAGCCTGCTGTGATGATGCCACATCACTGTCTGCCTCGAGCGGGGTATGCATTCGTAGGACCGTTGCCATAGGCTCATGCAACATGCAACACAGCAGTCATCCAGTCAGGATGTGGCTTGGAGTTGCCACGCTTCGTGTGATGTACCGTGCATGGTGGTGTGTAATTGAACAGAAGCGTTCTATTCGAAGCCTTGTAACTGCTTAAACACGATTGAACGGTAGGTTGTGAATTTTAATTTGATAGTTCTAACCGCTTAATGTAATGGTGCAGTTTTGATACAACACACGCCCAAAAAATGTCAGGCCTTTCCTACACAACGTCATACAATGTTGCAAAACTCTCAATTGAAAGTTCTGTCGGTCTGCCTCTTGATTTTGTGGTTAGATGAAGTTTTGAAAACAACCGCCCGGACTGACAGGTAACCAGGCGGCTCCACTCCGACCGGCGGTGTCACCGTCCCCTGTCGGTCCAGCCCGCGATGGATACATATCACCAAAAGAAGACGCACTAGAGCCTCGGATAACCACAATAGGTCCGTTTTGTGTTACTCATCATGCATGCGGTGGAGGACCATCACATCGGCCGAAATTTGGAGGATAAGCTTTCCCCCCTCCTGAGGCTTTTTTCCCCTTCCTCAACAATCGATACCCCAACTATCACCTTCAGCTATGAGCGACTTCAAGGGCAAGGTCATCGCCATCACAGGCGCAGCATCAGGCATCGGCCTCGCGACGGCGAAGAAACTGGCGTCCCTTGGCGCGCGGGTATCGATAACCGATGTCAACGAGGCTCTGCTTACGTCCGAGGCGGCCGTGCTCACCGGGCTGTATGGCGCAGAGAACGTCTTTTCCAAAGTTACCGATGTGAGGGACCGAAAGGCGGTTGAGGCGTGGATCGCCGAGACGGTGGAGAAGCTCGGCCCGCTCAACGGAGCCGCTAACTGTGCTGGCGTACTGGGCCGGCAGGGAAACAGAGCGACGATTGCAGAGATCGAGGACGATGACTGGGACTTTGTGATGGGAGTGAACTGCAAGGGAATTCTGAATGCCATGAGAGCTCAGATCCCGGCTCTGAAAGATGATGGAAAGGGAGCGTCTATCGTCAATGTAGCCTCTGTTTCTTCCTTGTATGGATTGGAGTTCCACGGGGCCTACACCGCGAGTAAGCATGCAGTCGTTGGACTGACCAAGAGCGCTGCGAGAGAGTTTGGAAGAAAGGGTGTCAGAGTCAACGCTGTCTGCCCGTAAGTTTACCCCTGACAATGAATCTGGGGAGACTTCACATTCGGAGGAGCTCTTACTAACTTTTTCTAGCGGACCGATTGAGACCCCTATTCTGGCAGCATCTATGGAGTTTGCAGCGACTGGAGCTGTCCTTCCGCCACCTTTGCTTGGACGAATCGGGCAGCCAGAAGAAGTTGAGGCGATGATCACTTTCCTGCTCAGCGATGCTGCATCATACGTTACTGGCCAAGCAATGCTAGTTGATGGCGGCATGTTGCCATAAAGTGGAAGTCCAGTCGAATAAACAGAGCCTATCGAAGAGAACAAGAACCAGAAGATCTCTTGGGGAGACTACGAAACCTTAGGAGTGTATCAGAACCCAGTCCAAAAACCATTTGTCTCATGCATCTACACCTTACGGAGTCGCATGAGCGTGAAAGCAGCAACCCCAGAACAGGCCAATCCGGTCGTCCAGATCGCCCAGCTGCGAAGTTGGCTTTGCGAGCCTGCAGCCGCGTGAGATGACTTGGATACCAGCCTGTGAGGCAAGCCGAGGCTCTCTACCTGAGTACCTCTCAAGTAGCTCTTGTACCAGCTTTTCAGGAAAAGACCATCACCAAGCCAAGGCACAATAATCCCAATCAGGAACTTGGAGAGGGGTAGCTGCTGGCAGATAATCCTATTGACCCATCGCCCTTCTTGCATAACCTCGGTGATGTTATCTTGGCGTTTAATCTGAACTTGCGCAAGCATAGATTCAATCTCCTTGTCCGACAAGGACTGAGGATTTGATTTCATTGTTGAAACCAGCGTGTTGACAAGAGCTGCTGCTGTCTCAATAGCGCCGTTACCGCCCTGGGCTGTGATCGGGTGAAGCTGTATGGACCACATTTTAGCGACTCATGTATACCGACAAACACACAGCACGATATACGTACACTCCGTTATGTTAATAGCGTCCGCCCCTCCTTTTTACTGAAATTACGTATATATAATCCCTATATATATATAAAAATTTGCCTAATACTATATAAATACTTATAGTATAGTAATTAACTTATTATAATAGCTTTAATTAATCTATTTCTATTAAATCTTATTATCTAAGGGTATTATAATACCTCCTAAATACTACTATATAGCTTAATAGGTAGATAATAACCTATTTAAGTATTATCTATTACCTATTACTAATAGTATATAGAAATAATAATATATATAATAATTAGTATAGGATACTACTAGAGATCCTCCTTAATACTCTACTTTACTATTAATTAGGATTATTATACCTATTAAGAGGGCTTACTAAGTTACTACTATTAAGGAGGCTACTAAGGAGGCTACTACTGAGGTTATTATTACTAAAGCTAAACCTAAAACTAATAATTTAGTAGCTCTTAAGTTTATATTATAAAGAAGGTATATATTTATAGCCTTTCTATTATTATAAGGAGCTCTAAAAGTATCCTCTTACTAAAAGGTAATAATAATTATAAAGGTATTTAGGGGCTATAAGCTATAATTAAGTTAAACTAATAGAAGAAGTACCTAAAAGGTAGGTATAGTATTACTATACTACTTTTACTTACTTCTTCTAAGTTCCTTCTTTTTTAGTCTTTAGTAAGTACTTACTAAGTCCTTATTATAGAGGGTTCTATATTTTAAACCTATAGACCTTTCTATCTATTTAGCCTCTACTAACTAAACTATCCTTAAGCCCTCTAGCTAGGTATTTAATCCCTTATAATTATCCCCCTTCTAAATATAGTAATCTTTATTATATATCTAAGTATTATAACTAGTTTCTTATTAGAGTTCTTCCTCTTATTTAAGTAATATTTACTAAACTTAATATTATTATCTTTATTATTTAGTAGGATATTTACTTACTATATATTTACTAAAAAATAATAAAGCTTTTAGAGCTATAGTTATAATAATTAAATTATAGTTCTATTTATTAAGGCTTTTCTTCTTTTAAACCCTTTTTATATTCTTTATTTAGAGATACTCTAAAGGGATTTTATTATTTTTTTAAAGAAAAGTAGCTATCTTTAAATTATAGGTTTTATCTTTAATATCTTACCTTTTATTTAGTAAACTTTTTCCTATATAATATCCTTATAATAATTTTATTTTTTATTTTATTATCCCCCTTCTTAATAAGCTTATTATAAAGTTATTAAATAAGTTAAATAGTACTTATTACTATTAATTTATTACTCTTATTTCTTTATATATAGTACTTATTATAATAAATAACTA